AAAATATTGGGAAAGTTCTAAAATTTTATTATCTTTTGCAGATAGGAAGTACAATTTAGCACCACCTTCATCTCCTTTGGTTTGTTGTTTTCATATTTTAACTGGTTTCTGCACATCCAAAGGAACCATGCAACAATACAAGGAACGATTATTAATTTGGTATCTAACCATTCCATCCAACACCCCAAAAAATATTGCCAGCTGACTTTAAGAGTGTCAATATTAAGTTGTTTTAGTTTACCAGACCAGACCCCTTGGGAGAAGTTACAAGAGAAGAATAAATGATCCAGACTTTCCTCAGCTTTCCTGCACAGCTGACAGCAAGAGGGTCATTTAAGCCCTTTCATCTTCAAAATGTCATCAGTAGGAAGTAAGGATTTCCATAATCTCCAGCAGAAAAAGGACATGGAAGGTGTTAACCACTTCCCCCAAACCAAATTACCCCACTTGACAGGTTGCCATTTAAAAAGCTGTTGGTAGTTGAAAGCAGACAATTTTTGTGTGGAAGCCTGTTTAGTAATGAGTCTATCTTTCTGCCTATGAAAGATTTTAGTTTGCTTTACCCAATGCATTTGTTCTTTAGTTAGGATGGCATTCAACAGATTGCAATTTCACTGATTATCACTCCCGAATTCCTTCACTTTTGTCTTTGAATTGGGATTGGAGTTGTGAAGCTTCTCCCCATTCCATACCCACTTATCAAGCTAGAAATTAACTTGGCCTTCACCAAGCTCCCAGATAAATAGCTCCTCACCTTTGTTTCTAATTTCCAGAAGCTTAGACCACAACCTAGAATCACCCATCTTTTTTTGAGCCATAGTAGGATGAACTGCTCTACAATACTTCCCCTTCATAAACATAGCCCAAAGGCTATCTTGTGCTTTGAACTTTATCCATAGTTTGCATAAGTTGATGATACTGAGATGTTGAAAATCTTTAAAGCCTAAACCACCAACACTTTGGGGTTTACATGAATTGTTCCAAGCTAACCAATGGAACTGTTTTTTATGTCCAGCCCACAGAAATTTGCCCACAGAAATTTGTTGAAAATTATGGAACTGTTTTTTATGTCCAGCCCACAGAAATTTGTTGAAAATTTTGCCCAGCCTAATCTGAGTACCTTTCTTCATGCTAAACATTTGAAGAGCATAGGATGGAATGGAAGTTATGATGCTTTTAAGGAGGATAATTCTACCTCCATTAAAAAGGAAATAATTGGTCCAACACTGTAGCTTTTTCTGAATTTGATCAATAACTCCATTGAATTGTGTTTGTTTGGTTCTCCCGTTTGCTTGGTTCTCTTGGTTCTCCCTTTGAGTAATTGGACACCAAGATAGTTGATTGGTAGGGAAGCTTTGCTGAAGCCAGTGTACTGAGCAATCCAATGCCTAATATGTGGAAGAGTGTTTGAGCTAGTAAAGAATTAACATTTATGTTTATTAAGATGCATACCAGAAGTGATTTGGAAGTGTGTCAGTCCTTGGAAAAGAGCCTTCACAGCAGTTTTGGTAGCCTTGGAGAAAATGATAATATCATTAGCATAAGACAGATGACTCACCCCAATATTAGATCTATGCTGATATGTCATGTGAGGAGAAGAGGCAAACAATTGATTTAAAAGTCTAGAATGATAATCCATAGCAAGAATGAAGATAGTAGGAGACAGTGGATCTCCTTGTTTAATTCCCCTTGATGCAGAGAAGAAACCATGGCTTTTACCATTGATTAAGATAAAGTGATTATTAATACAAAACCATCTTTTTATCAAGATTATAAAGGGCTCAGAGAAACCCCTAGCAATTAAAGTGTCTAATATAAAATTCCAATTGATAGTATCATAAGCTTTCTGGATATCCAATTTCAGAATGAGATTGCTTCCTCTAATCTTTCTGTCAAGGTCCAGCAACAACTCCTGTGCCAAGAGAATATTATCAGAGATCTGTCTCCCTTTCACAAATGCTACCTGGTTATTGCTGATAAGTTGTTGGAGGTGAGGTTGGAGCCTGCTGTTAATAACCTTGCTGATAACTTTAGACAAGACATTTGTTAGACTAATAGGTCTGAAATCTCCCCACCCAGTCCTGGTAGAATTTTTGGGAATCAAAGTAATAGTGGAAGTAGTGAAGTACTTAGGGGGATTCATACCTTTAAAGAAGCATTGTACAACATCAACCACCTCCCCACTGATGATATGCCAAGTAGACTTGTATAATTTGGTAGTAAAACCATCAGGGCCAGCCACCTTTTGGTCATCAATAGAATCCAGTGCTGCTTTAATTTCCCCTTCCATAGGAATCTGAATAAGGTCCAAGCTTTGAGCATAATTAATGAACTCAGAGAAAAGTTCCACCTTGATAGGAGCTCTTTCAGTAAACTGATCCATAAAGATTTTCTGAAAATACTGAACAGCATCAGTGGCAATGTCCTCAGCATCAGTTACCACATTACCATTTGAATCATGCATGGAGAGGATTATGTTATTCTTCCTTCTGAAATTAATATTTCTATCACCATCAATGAATCTTGTGACAGCATTTTTTTTTTTCAGAAAACCTTCAGTAAAATTGGTGTGCATTAACAACTCCTCACTTGCTTTGTGCAGTTCAGCCTCAGAATTCAGACCCATTTGGAAATTCTTTTCCATTTTAATAACATTACTTTGAGCAGTGGTCAAATTCTCATTAATATTATCAAATTTTTCCCAATTCCACTTCTTGAGATGAGCAACCACCTTTTTTTGCAGAATCCACAGTTTTACCCAGGGATTAGAGTTCCCTTCAGCCCTCCAAACCTTACCAACTTCATCAACAAACTGAGGGTGGAGAGTACACGTGTTTTGAAATCTAAAAGGAGCATTTTATGGCTTTTCAGCATTTTGGATAGTACATAACAATGGTCTATGGTCAGAACCTGCCATAGCCAGATGAGTAATGATAGTGCAAGGGAAGGTCTGAACCCATTTAGAGTTCCCTAACAATCTATCCAGCCTCTCCCACATTGCACCTCTTCTCCAAGTGAAGTCAGGCCCTTGGTACCCCAAATCAAACAACTCAGCCTCAGAGAGAAAATCATTGAATTTGTTTAATGCAGAGATAGTGGGAGGTCTACCACATTTTCTTTCACCAAGAGGGGAAAGACAGTTTAAATCACCCCCCAAAATCCAAAAGGAGTTTATAGCTTTTCCAATCAGGATCAACTCATTCCATAAGGTGGCTTGGTTGCTGGCAAGGCAACTGGCATAGATGAAAGTGGCATAGCCAACTTGAGCTCCAATATAGAATTGTATGTGAATAAACTGAGAATGATCTATCAAAATAGACCAATGCAATTCAGCTCTAGCAAAGAGCCAAATTTTATTATTGGAGTTAGAAAAATGATCAAATTGAGGGAACTTTTTTTGAATTTTTTGGGAATTTTTAGTAACTAAAGGCTCAAGAAAGGCAAAACACCAAACTTTATGGACTCTCACTAGATATTTTAATCTCTTGAGAGAAGAGGGGTGAGCAATACCCCTAATGTTCCAAACAAGAAACTTAATCATTGAGAGAAGGTCCTCCCTTTCCCCTGGTCCTTGGATGATGATCCAAAGTAATTGGGCCCTCCAAAGGTTGTTTAAATTCTAACTTAACTTTTTTTTTTACTGCTTCTTTGAACTTGCCAATCTTTAGTTAGAACGTCATTTAAACTGTCAATTCTCTGGTCTTCAATTCTAGTTGGATTTATATTGATTAGGCTGTCATCAATCATAATATTTCCCTTCAAATTACTGTTAATGTCAATGGCTGCCTCTAGCTCCACAACACTACTATTGGGATTCATCCCAATAGTATTAACAACAGCATCATCTGTTTCAACTGCTGCCACTACCATTCCATCTGGTTCTACTGGTTTATGAATCTTGCTGAACCCAGCAGTTTTCCTTTTAGATGGAGGGTGTAGTTTATAACACCTTTCCACATTATGACCAGACATTTTACAATGTTGACAGTAAATTGGCTTTTGTTCCATTACAATTTGCTGCCAAAAGCCTTCTCCAGAAGTACCAATCCACACTCTTTATATATCAGGTAGGGAAATGTCCCTTTCAACCAAAACTCTAGCATCAACAGGTCTAGCCATATTAAAGGTAGGGGCATCAATTTTCAGTGGGCAGCCAAGCACCCTACTAATGTTGAAAAGAACATTTTGATGGAAGTATTGAATGGGTAGGTTGGGAAATTTAAACCAAATGGGAACTACAAGGGGTTCCTTTGAGGGATCAAATTCAGGTGTCCACTTCATTAACTTCATTGGAACACCATTAATAACTAGAGTTTGTTTGGCAAAAACCCTTGCATAGTCCTCTTCATTAAATAATGAAATTAACAGGTGCCTTCCATCAATTAGACCCAGCCTCCAAGCACCTATTAGTTTCAAATCCCCAAAGAATTTCCTTACCAAATCCATCTTAGGGTGGCCAAACTGGAATTTGCCAACCAGAGTGAATTTAACTGTCTCATTGAGCTCATTAATTTCTTGAGGGGAGAAGATAATTGCAGG